GCAAGAGACCTTGGAACACTCAGCCCTAAAAAGGATGTCTCCATCACACTCCCCCCCCCAACACCTCAAGGGCTCAGGGAACTCTGAGGGAGAGGAGAAAGAAGGAGTGTAAGAGCCAAGGGGGATGGCAGACACTGCAGGGATGGCACACATGAGCCCACAGACACAGGTGGTATGCCCAGGGCCTGCACAGATCTGCACCAGAAAAATGAAAGAGGTGGACAGACTCCCCATCCCTGACCCAGACGCTATCTTCAACGCTTGCTAGCCACTTGCAAATGAAAAATGTGTTTTCTCCAAGGGAGTCTCACTGGGAAAACAGACAGCAGTAGATGGCCAACACAAAACAGACTCAGTGGCATCATTGGGGGTTCTTTGTCTTATAATGTTAAGTCAGAGAATTTTTTTTTTGTTATCTAAACCTAATGGGTCCTTTGTGTATATATTATAGCTTCCAGCTTTATGTTTTTATGGGATCTTGTGTATGCAAACACATGTCCCTGCATCTATACTCTTTTTTGCGCTTTTTCTTTGGGTCTTTCTTGTTTAGTAGTTTTTTCCTATTCTGATTTGTTTATTTTTGTTTTACTTTATTACTGTTCTTCAGATGTGTTTTCTCATAAGAGACAGAAAGGGTGTGGGTGCTAATGAGACGGGAGGTGGGGAGAGGCAGGGAGGAGTACAGGGAAGGAACAACCAAAATCATAGTATGTTGTAAGAAAAAAATCAATTTTCAAGAAAAGAAAAAAAAATGATTAACAAAAAAAGATTTGACTAGTTGACTCTATGGTTGCTAGCTGCCACGTCCAAAGGCTGTAGGGCATGCCTGTGGGCTAAGAACCTGGGCAAGGCTGGATGCTACAGTCCTGAGTGTGGTGTCTTCATCAGGAAGCCATAGGTTTGGCTGTTAAAGCCTTCACTCCTGGGATGAGGTTCACCCACTGCATGGGAGGTCTCTTTATTTGAAGTAGCTGGTGATGGATACTACCCACATGTGTAAGATATTTCTTAGCAACACTGGGTCCATATTTGCTTCAATCACTGCATGTTGTAGTCACACTGACACCTGACATCAGCAGTTGCAGTGCCCCACTTAGCAACAGCATACGAATTAAGACCACAGAGAGGCACAGTTTTGTATCCATAAATTGATGACACCCTGAGTCTCAGCTAACACTGAGCATGGAAAGAATGTGGCTCAGCAGGACCTACATGTGCTGCGGATGAGGATGTAACTCCCTTCATTCTTCCATACATGTCAGGCTATCCATCGTCTGAATCCTAGGGATTAAACTCAGGTTGTCAGCCTTGGTAGCAAGTGCTCTTGTCCACTGAGCCATCTGAAAGGCCCCATGTTCTCTTCTTTTAATCCAAATTAGTGAGATTTTTCATAGTGTACTTTATTAGAGCATATTTTATCTGTGAAAGCCTTTTTAAAAATAAATTACATTTGTGTGCATGTGTGTGTATAAGAGAGAGAGAGAGAGAGAGAGAGAGAGAGAGAGAGAGAGAGAGAGA